TATGATCTCTCTTTTTAATTTTCATCAGAACTCAGATGGATACATGAAAATAAAAAGAGTTTTGTAAATCGAGATAAAGAAAAATGCTGTCCAAAAATGAAACCTTTATATTTATTTATTTTATTTTTTTTTACAAATCTCATCTTTTCAGATGTTACTTTTATTGAAGTAAGTTTTTGAAATTAAGTTTTACAAAATGTATTCTTTTCAAATGGCATTTTACAGACCACATTCTCTTTACTTCAAGCACAATGTAGAAATGCTCTCTCTTGACTATGTCTTGACTAGAATCTTCTCATTCCATACACTTGAAAAACATGAATGGTTTAGGATCCACTTATCAGCAGGGTCACAGTAAGCTTGTGCCTATCTTCGCCATTCTTTGGGTGAAAGCTGGGCTGCATCCTGGAAAGGTCACCAGTCTATTGGTGTGTTTGAATCCGGCAGCTTCTTCCTCTGAAGGCCAGCTTTGTCGGCTGATTTATGTCAAGGCGTGGTGCCATGGCCTGTTCAGATTGGAATACTCCTTCATAAGCAGCCAACAAATGCTGACTTCTTTTTGCCCCTTTTGAAGGACCCCCATGTACGATGAGTGAAGGGTGGTGGAGATCTCTGGACCCGTTTGAATCCTTAGCCAAACTCTTACGTCCTTATTTTCATGGTCCTCGAAGGACCCAGTCATTGAAGAGCGGATACTTGGAGGACGCCACTGCTAAAATTGAACACACCCTGTCACAGGGTGATAGACAAGGCAAACAACCATCCACAACCCCATTTAGAGTGACCATTTAAACAATAGTTGAGTGTTTGGACTATGATTTGAGGCCAGAGGACTTTGCCTGTCTATGTTCTCCCATGCACGCGGAGGGTGCATGGCCATATTAACAGAATGGACCAGTGAAGAACATTTGGAATCAGGGAGCTTTGACAATAAAAGAAAGGTGAGCTTAATCAAGAAAATGTGGAACAGGTGTGAAAGGAGAGTGCTAAGCAAGGGGAACTGAAGAAAGAAGACAAATTAACACAGAAAACAAAAAGGCATCTTAAAATACAAAAAATGGGACATATGCCTAACACTACAGGCCAATCAGAAAACAAAAATTAGAAAGATGCTAAGAAACAACCTAACCCCAGTAATTTTCTATATGTAATCATCACAGAGTTTTAGGGGTGATATTATAAACATAATCTTTGCACCCATGTGGTAAAAAAGAACAACTACAACAAAAAAAATATATTAGTTGAACAAATTAGAATCAGACTACTCTCTCCAGGCAGCAACTTGGCATACAGAGGTAAAAGAAACATCACATAACATGTGCTTTAGTAATTTTATAATTAGCTATAA